GTACTGAATGTGGTTCAGGCTTAACCATCTCCTCGTAACAGGCTTTTTACTCGGACATACAAAAGTCTTCTATGATTAGATGAATTTATCCACCGGTGTGTTACACAAAAATATGGTTTCAAAGGTTAAAGGAAAAACAAATGAAAACACATTTTGTAGATGTTCATGGATTAGAGCCCAGTGCTGGGCTCCCAAAAGATGTGGAAACGGTTAGCTCCATCTCCCCACATCTCCAACAAGTGTCGCAGTTCCCCGATATCTTTGCTGAGCTGATGAAAAATCTCGTAATGGTTTCCAGCTAAACTCACGGCAAACACTGGACCCGGTGGTAGCCCACTGTGTCATGCATGTGTGGCCCCGACACTCCTCTGTAATCGACAGATTACCTTCTTTTCCCCACATTGCTTTCATATACACAGTGCTGTCGTTTTTACACCGCAGGATGCTGTTATATCGTTTGGAAATAATTTTGCTTTGCGCTCCAGATTTGGTTAATGATAAAAATGTTTCTACAAACTGTTTCGTTTAGGTTCACTTTTAAGTTTTGATTAAAATAAATTCTGACCTGTAGAAATCTAAAGAAGTCGTCTGAGCCTAAATCATGTTTACTCCTTTCAAAGCTTTGAATGCCTCCTTGTGGACAAATTAATAATAATTAGTTATACCTTCTGAAATCCAGTTCTTGAATCTATTATCGTACTGATTCAGGGAAAAATCTGAATCATATGAATGAACCATCTTCAACCTTAGAGGCATTTTCCAAACTGCAAATTCTGATTACTTCTGATTATTTGTAGTATGGGTTCATCTGCCATGTCTATTTTGTGCTGTAACTTTATGTCCGATATTAAAGCTGTAACTGGTTTTCCTTCAACATCTTTCCATCCGGCGGTGTCATCTGGACAGCAGAGACATATCAGACATCTCAGCTGAGCTGTGCAGTAATATTCTCGTAGACAGGGAAGCCCACGACCTCCCTTTTCTTTCTTTAATTGGAGCGTTTATATTTAACTCGAGCTTTTTTCCCGTTCCAGATGTGTTTTGACAATATTCTGTCCCACGCCACAAACAACAACAAATACAGGGGAAGAATATTTAATCTGACTGATTCGAGTGTAGGAAACAGATTGGTATCTTGGTGTCTGATTGTATGGATTCGTTTAGCGGGGCATAGTTGGCATTGAACATTTTGGTGACGTCACGGCGTATTACCACCCATAGTTGGTTCCATTTATAGCGATTCTTAATTTTGACTGGTGGTTCATAGTTTAAGGTTAATACCTGCGTTTTGTTTACATTAACCTTGTATCCCGAAAAATGAACCCCAGAGGCTCCTCAAAGAAACGATATGGAAGTGAAAACGTGTCTCGTCGTGACGTCCATGAACACGTCTCCTCCTCTGCTTCCCGTCCTCGCTTTTGTCTGCAAACACGCTGCTTTGTTGGAGGAAACGTTCACTCAGCCGCAGCAGATTCTTCCTTCCTCGTCTCGCTGCCTTTCTGCGGCGCTGAATAGCACAGACTCACAACAGTGTGCGCTGGCCTTGGAGGGAGAGTGTTACTGCAGACAGGCTGCAAACACAGACTCACACGAAGCTTCGTCTCACGCAGAGAAGCAGAAACTCTCCACAGGTGTGTGTGTTTGTTTGTGTGTGTGCATGTTTGTGTGTGTGTGTGTGTG